TTTTGTTGTTGTTGTTGGAGAGTGAGCAGCGGGAGGCAGAGAACCTGCTGGAGGGTCACCCATGGGCAGGGTCAGAGCAGCCCCACACAGCAGGTTTCAATGGGCAAGTGATAGGGGGAAATTCTAAAATGATAAAATTGTTTTCTGAGCACACCCCACAGTTCCGCTTGTCTGATGTATCGGTTACTTTTTCTGGGTGGTTGAATTTATAGATTGTCATCCATAACATGCACTCAGCATTCCCCAGGACATGTCTTCTGGCTGAGTCTCCCCATGCTCACCCCAGCACAGCCTGTGCAGTTAGCTGTCCCCAACTTTTCTTGGGCAATTTGATGACACAGTAGCTCCTTGCGACAGTCACCAAGATGGATGTCCCTGAAGCGCAGAGGCCCTTGGGCGCATGAGGAAGGACAAATCTCTGTGAAGATATTCAGCACAGCCGAGGCCATTAGTCACCAAGGGTCATTTGACATTTTGAAATGAACTCATGGTCTCTCATAAATAAGCTCAAACAGTGCCCCATGCCTGGGGCAGGGTGGCCGTGGTTGGAGGTAGGGAGCCCCCACACTTCTCCATGAAGTGCTGTGGAGGATTGGTATAACATTTAAGTGTGTGGAAAGTGAGTACTGTGGTGCTTTGTGTGTTGCTATGATGCTGGGAGCTATACTGCCGGTATTTCAAATACCAGCAGGGTCACCCATGATGGACCAGTTTCCTCAGAGCTTCCAGACTAAGACAGACCAGGAAGAAAGGCCTGGTGATCTACTTCCAAAAATTAGCCAATGAAAACCCTATAAATCACAATAGAATATTGTCCAATAAAGTGTTGGAAGATGAGCCCCCTAGGTTGGAAGGCAACAATGGGTTCAAGCATGCTGACAATCAAGAGGAAGACACGGGACCACAGCGGTTCGTTCCGTTGTTCCTGAGGTCACCATGTGTCGGACCTGACTTGAGGGCAATTAACAACAACAAAGTGAGTAGCATAGCTGGGGGCCTCTCTGACCTCCTGGGGGCCTCTCTGACCTCCTGGAGGCCCTGGCCCTCTAGCAACTTGAGTTGTGGGGGGTAGGGTGGATGATTTCAGTTACTTTGGACGCTGTGGCAAAGCCTTCCCTGGCTCCTCAGCATGAAGTTTGAGTCCCCTCGAGCCTGAGGCCTGAGCCAATGGGCTGTCTAACTGTCCTTCCTCAGGCCTGGAAGGCGCTCAGTGAGGGGAAGTCACCTCATTCATGTTGAGTCCATATCTGGCACCGAAGCTCACAGTTTAAGCCTCCACAGGCCTCTCTGCCTCCCTGAGAAAACAAACTTGGACTTATAGTTTGATTTTTTTTTTTTTTCCTGAGAGTATAATAGCTAATAGTTTTTGAAAACTTCCTGCATGCTAGGCATTGCTCAGTGTGCTATATAAATTATTTAATCCTCACAGTAACACTGTGAGGAGAGAATTCTCATTTCCATGTTGTAGAGTTGAGAAACTGGAGTCCAGAACCAAAACCCATTGCCACTGAGTCAATTCCGACTCATCGCGACCCTATAGGACAGAGTGGAACTGCCCCATAGGGTTTCCAAGGAGTGGCTGGTGGATTCAAACTGCCGACCTTTTGGTGAGCAGCAGTAGCTCTTAACCACTGCACCACTTGGAGTGCTTGGCTGGTGCAAATGTTTAACGTGCTTGGCTACTAACCGAGAAGTTGAGGGTTTGAGTCCACCTAGAGGCGTCTTGGAAGAAAGTCGTGGCAATCTACTTCCGAAAAACTGGCCATTGAAAACCCTGTGGAGCACAGTTCTACTCTGACACACATGGGGTCACAATGCATTAGAGTTGACTCGAGGGTTACTGGGTACTTGTTATAGATGGAAAATGGGAGACTTGGAGAGGCTGCTGTTGAGGACTTGCCCAAGGACACACAGGAGCAAGTTGTGACTAGGACTCAACCCAGTGATAAGGACTGTTTAATCCCGCTTCTCAGGGAGTGTCAAGAAATGAGGCTGATTGCAAACCCAAATCAAAAAGCGAGGGGGTGTGCGAGAAGGCTCTGTGATGGGGTTCCCAGCTGAGTCCCTAGAAAAGCCCAGTGTTATTGCATTTCTTAAAGCTGTGCAGCTATGTGGCATTCAATACATGCATGGTGACCTGTGGTCCATGCCAAGTCGGGGTTTTTTGGTGACCTGGATGAAGAATTAATGAAGGATAATTTGGGATGAAGACAAGTATTTTTTATTTTTTGTTTTTCATACACATCAGGAAGCCAAAGCTTATGGAGGCCAGACCTATTGCTTGGCAGTTCAGCCAGACTGGGACCACAAATTCTCAACTGGCTTCCCCGATAAGAAAAATTAGGAGGGAAAGAGATGCCGAACTGAAGGGGTTTGAGTGAAAGCACCCTGGGTGTCTCTTAAGGATGTGGCTGTTTCTTGAGTTTCTTCCAAGCCCAGTTCCTCTGTCCTTTTTTGTCATGTACACAGTCCTTCCTCCCCTCCTCCCAGGCCTTCTTGCTGATGAGTAAACAAGATATTTCATAGCCACTCACCTTGAAAAATGAGGGCAGCATTATGGCTTAGGCCTGGATGAGCAGGCTTCTGAGTCAAGATTTCAATAAATGTAGACACTGCCAGGATGGACGATGATTTAGGATTAATTAGACTGGAATTTTCCCTGGAATAGTTAGATCCATCACAGGGACATAAACTTCATGGCCACCTCTTAAAGGCTGAGGAATGCTTGAGTGTGGAGACAGATGAAGTCGGGGAGGGGGCGTGAGTCACATGCCACAGGATCAACCCGGCCCCCCTTGGCCTACAGGAGCCCAAGGCAGTTAGAAGCCCCTTCTGAGAGGTCGAAAACAGCACATGCCCCTGTTAGGATTTTCTAGAGTTCTGCTGTGGGTTCTCTTGCTCCTGCCTTTTTTCTCTTCTCCTTCTCTACAGCTCCTGAGCCTCTGTCCCCCAGCCTGCATGGAAAGGGCAGGATGCTGACTGGGCTGTTCTAACCGAGAGCCTCTACAGCTGTGCTGTTGATGAAGTACTTCACTGCCAGCCTTTGAGGTAAACAGGGGAGGATTACCATCAGCACCCTTCACCAATGAGAAAACAGAAACCCGGAGAGGTAGAACCGACTTCTCTAAGGTCACACAGACCTAAGAGTTAAACTCACATTTTTTTTTCTTCTTTTATTGTGCTTTAGGTGAAAATTTACAGCTCAAGTTAATTTCTCATCCAAAACTTTATACGTACATTGTTTTGTGACATTGGTTGCAATCCCCACAATGTGACAGCACACTCCCCCTTTCCACCCCGGGTTCCCTGTGTCTATTCGTCCCATTCCTCTCCCTTCCTGCCTTCTCATCCTGCTTTTGGATAGGAGCTGCCTATTTGGTCTCGTGTATCTGAATGAGCTAAGAAGCACATTCCTCACGTGTATTATTTTTTTTGTTTTATACTCCTATCTATTTGTCTGAAAAGCTGGCGTTGGAAATGGTTTCAGTTCTGGGTTAACAGAGCGTCCAGGGGCCATAGCTTCGGGGGTTCCTCCAGTCTCTGTCAGACCACTAAGTCTGGGCTTTTTATGTGAATTTGAATTCTGTTCTACATTTTTCTCCTGCTCTGTCCATAAACCCAAAGTCTTTCCACTGCATCCCTGAGACACAGCAACCCCTCCCTCCTAACTCCAACGGCCCAGGATGTTTTTAATATTCATCTGTCAGCAAGTACAGTCATTTGCCAGGAATTCTTCGATTTTGACTCACAATATGTATCTCATTTACCCCAACTGGACTTTAAGCTCTTTTAATCAACTCAATATTTTATAAAAACAAGGAAAGAAATAAAAGCTACAAGCAGACAAAAACAATAAGTGCATGTTGTCCCTCAGTGGGGACTTTAAGTCTCCGCCTCCTGCCCCCCAAATCCTGCACCCCCAGCACAGGTTCTGGGGAGGGTTTCTGTTCCCAGAAGTGCTTTCCAGAGGTGCCTAATAGGGCCTTGCTGGTTGTTAGCTCCCCAATTCTGGGTGATGCTCATTTGTTTGCTTGTGTGAAAAAATGCACATTTTAAAACAATATCCATATATAGTATATGTTAGTCATGCACAGAGAACAAAATCTGAAGAAATATATGCCAAATTGTTAAAAGTGATTAATATTGGGGTGGAGTAAAAAATGTAATTATAGGCAATGGTGACTTTTTTGCATGCTTGCAGCTTATTCAAAAAATTTTAAAAAATAAAAATATTGAGTAGATGCAGTAGAGTATTAGTAAAATGTAAGTAAGGTACTAAGAGTTATGATATAATAGACATACCTACCACCCTGGCAAAGAAATAGAACAGTACTATTTCCTTTGAAAGGAGCCCCAGTAGTGCAATGGTTAAGCGCTCAACTGCTAACAAAAGCGTTGGTGGTTCAAACCCACCCAGCGGCTCCATGGGAAAAAGACCTGGTGACCTGCTTCCGTAAAGATTACAGCCATGAAAACTATGGGGCAGTTCTGCTCTGTCACAGGGGGTCACTAGGAGTCGGAATCAGCTCTACGGCATCCACAAATTTCCTTTGAAGTACCCTGTTAACCGTCCCCATCCTATCCCCTCCCCTCAGCCTTCAGAGGTAACCTAAGCACCTTCCTGAATTCTGTGTTTATCATTCTCCTGCTTTCCTTTTAGTTTTACCATGTATGTTTGCAGCTCCAAAGTATGTTTTGTTTTGCATGATTTTAAACTTTAAATAAATGGAATCTAGGTACTTTTCTGTGACTTGTTCTTGGTTGAAAATGAATGACGTTTGTTTATTTTCAATGCTGTATAGTATTCCACTGTATGAATATATTACCATTTATTTAACTACTTTATCATTGTTGGGCAGTTGGGTTGTTTACAGTATTCATTCATTCATTCATTTATTTTTGACATTACAAACAGTGCTGCTATGGATATTCTTCTACAAATCCCTTGGTGTGTACGTATTTCTACTAGGAATATATCTAAGACGGTAGAACCTTTCTAGCCACCTGTGAATCCCAAATACCCTCAGCTAATCACCCTCCCTCCCCTCAAGAGTATCCATTATCCTGACTTTTATGATAATTACTTTCTCACTTTTCTTTATAATTTTATCACCTCGCAATCTTACAGTCACACCTATTCACTAGTATAAATACGTGAACAATATAGTTTAAACTGTTTTAATATAGTTTTTAAGTCTCCTTTAATTTACAGTCTTCCTCTTTTGTTCATAATTTATTTGTTGGAAAAAACCAGGTCATTTGTCCTGTGGAGTTTCTTACTTTTGCTGATTATACTCCCATGGTGTCGTTTAAAATATTCCTCTATCTCCTGCATTTCTTGTAAATTGGTAATTGATCTAGAAGTCTAATCAGAATCAGGTTTTTTGCTTCGTTTTTGGCAAGACTACTTCATAAATGGTTGTCTTTTTTGTTTATCACGAAGCACATCATGTGCGGATTTCTCTGTGATTTAGCAGTTAGTGGTGTTCAGTGTCTAGGTGCATTAATTCATTCAGGGTTGCAAAATAGTGATATCGCAAAACTACCGTTCTTTCTCCCTTCGTTTGCTGGAGTACTTCTATAAAGAGAAACTTGATCTCCTGTGCTATTTAGTTTCCAGTGGTACAGTTCAATGGAAAAAAGCAGGATAAATGCTTAATTATTTCCCTTTACTTACCAGTTTTCAAAATAAAGAGTTGGTTTCTCAGCATGTCCCATGCTTGGACAGTTGGAGTTCTTCTACTTGGCTCCTGTGTCTTTGATCGATTCTTTTCCATCTGGCATGACAAGATACTCCAGGCTCATCTTGTACAATTCTTGCTCTGTACACTTCTGCCTGAAGTGCTGGTTTCCTTTAGTGGAAAATGGTACACTACTGCAAAAATTCGGTTAACGAAAACAGTTAAGCAGTCATTATTTCAGGTGTGTATTCTCACTCCACTGTATCTCTTAATTTTCTTTTTCCACCTTCTTCTACGGAGCATACAGTTACTACATATTATACTTGTCTCTTTTGAATCCCTCATGCAGGCTTAGTTTTACACGCACACGTGCACAGGATTGTCATTTTGGTTGTCTAAACTTCATTGTCTGTTAGTTTCCTCAGAAAGGACTATAAAACCAATATTTTCTGAATTTTTGCATGTTTGTCTGCAATGTTTATATTTAAAAGTCAGTTTCACTGGATAAAAAAGTCCTTGACTCTCATTTTCTTTTCTTGAGTATCTTAAATATCTTATTCACTATTTTTTTTGGCATAAAGTGTTGCCATCAAAAAGTCTTTTGATAGCTGAATTTTCTTTCCCTTATAAGATACTTGGTTTTTTTGACTGGATGCCCAAAGGATTTTTTTTTCCCCCTCTTTCTATAAAGTCCAATATCTTACTAGTTATGCCTTGGTGTTGGCCATTTTGGGTCAATTTCTCCAGTTAAATGGTGCATTCTTTTCATTCCTTTCAGATTTTTTGTTCATTTTTACCCAGTTTCTGGGTAAAATGTGTTACTTTCTCTTAATTATAATTATGGGCTTTTCTATTTCTTTCTTTTAGTTTGGTTAATTTTTGCTTTATACACTTTTGAAACTATGTTATTATAGGTATACAAATTTAGATTTGCTAGATTTTTCTGGTGAATCAAAACCTTTTGTTATTATGAAATACCTCCTTATCCCTAGTAATGTTCCTTGCCTTGAATCTATTTTTCTGATCTTAACATAGCTACTCCAACTTTCCTGAGGTTGTGTGATTATTATATCTTTTCCATACTTTAAACCTTTCTGTATCTTTTAAGTGTGTAGCTTATAATTGGGTTTTGTTTTTATCAAGTCAGACATCGTAGCATTTAGTCCATTTACATTTAATATAATTACTGATTCACTTGGGCTTAACTGTTATTATTTGCTATTTGTTCCACTTGGTCTATGTTCTCTTTTCTCTTCTTTCTTTCTTTTTAAATTACTCCATTTTCCCCTCTCCTAGCTTGGTAGTTATACTTTTTAAAAAATATGATTTTTACTGGTCAGCCTTAGAGATTACAACATACTTCTTTGAGTTATCAAACTCTAAAAGAAATTAGTGCTTTTACCTCTTCCCAGACAGTATGAATACCTTAGGAAAACTTTAATCCCATTTACTTGACTTCTGACTTATATGCTACTGTTGTTATGTACCCCTGCCTACGAAACTTTCGCAGGTGATGCTCAGTCTCTCAGCTGCTCTCTGTGCACTCAGCACATGCACCCAGGGCCTGGGTTTCTATTCACCATGCGATTTTGGCCCACTAATTCTTACTCTCATGCGAGCTCTCTGATTCCTTCAATCATTTTCATATTTCATCCAGCTTTTCTAGTTGTCCTTGATGGAACAGTTATTCTTATCACCTATTATGTCATTGATGGCGGTGTAAGTCCAGCACTATTAGCCCTTAAGCTGTACTCTACTTGATGAAGACCAGTTGAGCAGGCATGGAAGCATATATTGCTGCTAATAGTCTAATTCCCACTGGTCTTCAGCATCTGTGGCATCTGGGAGAGATGACTCATGGACCCAGCTCGTGATGCTACGCATGGGTGAGGATGGGAGGGGGGCCAGTCAGGCCTGGGAGCTGTACACGTTGCTTAACTGTCTGAGTAAACATAATCCAAAGGGGCACCTGAGGTGGCCTCTGCTGTTGTGAGCAGATTTTGGATCAGTGCCTAGGGCCTACCCTGCCTCTATAAGTCAGTACAAAAATAGACTCTTTGTTCCACCTTCACCAAGGTGGGTGCAGCAAGTGCTCGGTGCTGGCTCCATGGCCTATAGGCCAAAGAAGAAGTAAGGAGCATGGGCCAGGGGCTGAGACAAGGTGAGAGATGGGCCATTCCTGGAGCTACTGCTTAGTCTTCCTATGAATGAAGCTGTCATTACAGGCAGAGGCTCCATATAACCCGCACTGCCAATGACATGGCCCCGGCCCGGACCTTCCTCACATGGTGCCATTGTTTGGGGGGTGGCATCAAAACACTCTCTCAGTTGACAGAAAGGTGATGGTGAGAACCTCTGTCCTTCCTGGAAATGCTCCCACTACCTGGTCCTGAGGTATCTGGCTTTTGGAAACTGACTCCCCAGGGCTTAAGTTGTTCAGTTTGTGTGCCTGGGTCTGTTTGTCACCCTTATTTCTTCTTCCTTTACCAATCACAACGCTTCTAAGTGTGAAGATCTCAACAGGTAACCTGTCTCACAGATCTCTGGGGAGTCTGTCCTGAGGGCACCTGGCACCTGAGACCCTAGATCAGCTGCTGGAGGTCACTGAGGGGCTGAGGCTCTGACTGGACTTGCTGTCTTTGTCCATACTTCACACCACGATTGGCAGGGACAGGGCCTCGCTGCGGTATAGGCTTATTCGCTGATTTGAATGAACAAATGTGACTTAAATCTCTTGCAGTGTCAGGTTTCTTGTTTTGCTCCTATGGACACTGTGGCTCCTGAGAAGTGTGAGGGACAACCCAAACAAAGCTGTGACTCTTGCTCTCCAGGCTGTGATGCTCCCAACTTGGGAGCATCACTGGTTGTGAAAGCACTTAAGGCTTCACTCCCACAAAGCACGCCCCACCCTCAGCAGATAAGCAGCCGCCCTCCACTCCCTGGGGCAATGACCTCACCTGCGACTACTGCCTCCAGGGCTTCTGCAGCTCCTCCTCAGGGTGTGACAAGGCTCATCTTGTACAATTCTTGTCCCCGGGATTTCTCCCTGCCTGAAGCGCTGGTTTCTTTTAGCAGAAATGGTAAACTACTGCCAAAATTCAGTTACTGAAAACAATTCAAGAGTTACTGTTTCACGTGTGTATTCTCATTCCATTCTATCTCCTCATCTTCCGCTTCCTCCTTCTTCTGTGGAGCATGTAGCTATTACACATTATACTCTCTCTTTTATATCCCTCATGTAGTCTTAGTTTTACACACACACACGTATATACGCACACATACACACACGTGCATGTAATTGTCATTTTGGTTGTCCAAACTTCATTGTCTAGTAGTTCTATTTGTTCATCAGGCAATAGCACATTTATAAAATTCATTTTTTATTGACTAACCACACAGTGCTAGAAACTAAAATTTCAGGCATAAATAATGATGCTGGTAATAAACAGCCCTAACCACCACCTCGGCAGTTTGGCTTGCAACCTTCTTCCCCCAAGCTGTTGGCATCGCCTCTGTCTGACCTCTTCCATGTCTGCTTAAACTCAGCTCCTAGTAAACATACATGTGACAACATACCTCTCTAGTGTTGTCTCTGTTTGCTAATCCTAAACCCTACAAGACTGTTAATTCCTTCAGCATAAACTTTCATTGCAGATAATTGCAGATAACTGTTTCAGACCCTAGAGTGGTAGTTTTTAAATCTAAGACATGCTCAAACATCTTTAAAAAAGGAAAACAAAAGTCTCTGGGTTGACTTAAATTATTTTACTTTATAATATTATTTATATAAGCACAAACAAAAAATTACTTGAACTCTTTATGCTTAATAGCTCTTACATAACTGTAAAACTAAATCCAATGTACAAACGAAACACAAAAAGTCCCCACACAACCGGTGAGACTCAAGTCAGCACACTTACTGTAAGGGGATCCGCCATGTTGTTTTTCTGAAATCAAACACTGAATATCTGGCTGACGATACAGCGCAATGCTCTATGATACAGCGCAATGGTCCACACTGTGTAGGGTGACGCCGTGATTCTTCCATGTCTTTCCTTGACTGGAACAATAGCAGACATTTTGTTTTTACAGAATGCCATGATGTCGCTTATGAATTAAATCCTCTGCTCCATTCTTTTTAAATAGTCTATGACTATAGGGTTGCTATGAGTCGGAATACACTTGACAGCAACAGGTTTTTTTTTTTGTTGTTGTTTTTTTCTGACTATCAAATTAGTACTATTTGGCTCTGAAATCTCTAGAAACATTTGTGAGATGATGTTTCATATGACGTGAATATGTTGACATTAATTTTTAAGAGTTTCATTAATTCAAGAATCTCAATGAAGAGTCTCTTAGAGGGTTGTGGACCTGAATGTGTCTGACGGGTCCCAGGGTGTTCTTAGACCCCAGTTTGCAAATTCCTGGACTTGAAGCTTCTGGTTTTCTGGATGGGAGGCTCTGTCATCTCTTCCCTCTGGGCCTGTGTTTGCCCCCAGCTACTCTCAATGCTCTTCTGGGGTTGAGATTCCCCAAGAAGGTGCTTCAGCCTGGCTTGTTTTTGTTTTTGCTTTCCCAGGGAGGACCAGGCACACACTTCGTGCAAAATTAGAACCAAAACGCTAAGGGCTGCTTAACTGCTCAAGGGATGGTGCCCTGATCCACTGGGGCTCCCCACTCAGCCTGGGGATGGCCCCGTGTCTCTGGGCTGGGGCCAGCCAGGGAGGGGCCTCCGCCACACAACCACAACCAATCCTGGCAGAGGGGGTCAGCTGCTAACTGTGCCTCCACAAGAGGAAAAAATAGCAGTTTTGTCCTTGGAAAAGACTAGAGAATCACAGGACCAGAATAGCAACTGAAGCCGTATTTAAAAACAGAAACACCTGCTTCGGAATTGTGGCAGGAAATGAGATTTCAGAAGTGCCACAAGGAAGCTGGTGAAGCGGCAGCCCCTCCCTCATATCTCCCCTGCTTTTCAAGGACAGCTGGGCCTGCCCACGGGGAAGCCCCTATACTGGCCCGGCTCTGCCTGGGGCCCAGCACATTGCCTGCTGTGAGGTGGTGCCTGGCTTGCAGCGTGCGGCTGGGTGACTCCTGCCCCGTGCTGCCCAGTAGCTGATCCTGCTAGACTGACATCAGGTGACACTCCACACTCCTGTGGGCAAACCTCTTGGGTCATAACAGAAACCCAGGGAAAACGTCACAGAGGGAAGGGAGGCATGTGGCCTTCTGAGACCCACTCTTAACGGCTTCCCCCGGGCTTTTGAGTCCCTGGGTGGTGCAAACAGTTAATGCCCTCTGCTGCTAACAGGAAGGTTGGAAGTTCGAATCCACCCAGAGGCATCTCAGAAGAAAGGCCTGGTGATCTACTTCCGAAAAATCAGCCACTGAAAACCCTCTGGAGCACAGGTCTACTCTGACACACATGGGGTCGCCATGAGTCAGAGCTGATTGAACAGCAACTGGTTTACTGGTTTTACGGGAATTTTAGGAGAGGTAGAAGAATGCTGTGTTTAGTCAGGAACTGTATTTCCAAACTGGGGTAGCACATCCCAGAGGGAGTGCAAGGTGATCCATGGGGTCAAGCAAAGAATAATAGTCCATCTATTTAGATTAATGTTTTACTTCAAAAATGGAAGAGAAAGCTATGCAATGTTACTAATCTTTTTTTTATGCATATAATTTATTTCTTTGTACCTTAATCTCTCCAACTTGATTATGTACAGTATTCTCTGCAGCAACCTTCTCATTGAACAAAGGAAACCAGTGGAACTTCTTTTTTGTTTTTTTTGGTGAAACTATACTCAACATATACCTGTTGAATAATGTCTACATGTACAGATCAATGCCATTGGTTACGTTCTTCTCATGTGTCACCTTTCTCATGCAATGTTACTAACCTCGAACGCTAATGGACTCTTGGTAGTCTTGCTTGTTGTGTGGGAGATGATCTGGGGTGGGAGGAAGGGGCCCTGGGGGAGAGAGGTGGGGGAGACCTATGCCCGCCTACTCATTCCGTCACTCTTGGGTAGTCAAACACACTGCAGCTTATTTAGAGATTTAAGGCTAAGGATATTTAGAGATTCTATTCTCTATTTTTAAGTAAACCAACTCTTATAAAAAGAACAAACCAAAAACCAAACCAGAACAATTATGACTTATGGCAACCCCATATGTTGCAGAGTAGAACTGTGCTCCATAGAATTTTCAATGGCTGTGACCTTTCGGAAGCAGATCTTCAGTCCTTTCTTCTTCTTTTTTTTTTTTTTTTACATTTACGTACACTAGGAAAATTTTTTTTTATTGTGCTTTAGGTGAAGGTTTACAGAGCAAATTAGTTTCTCATTAAACAATTAATACACATATTGTTTTGTGACATTGGTTGCTAACCCACGACGTGTCAACACTCTCCCCTTCTCGACCTTAGGTTCCCCATTGCCAGCTTTCCTGTCCCCTCCTGCTTTCTAGTCCTTGCCCCTGGTGTCCATTTAGTCTCCTTTTGTTTCGTGGGCCTGTCTAATCTTTAGCTGAAGGGTGAACCTCAGGAGCAATTTTAGTACTGAGTTAAAAGGGTACCCAGGGGCCATATTCTTGGGGTTTCTCCAGTCTCTGTCAGACCAGTAAATCTGGTCTTTTTTTGTGAGTTAGAATTTTGTTCTACATTTTTCTCCAGCTCTGTCCGGGACCCTCTGTTGTGATCCCTGTCAGAACAGTCGGTGGTGGTAGCTGGGCACCATCTACTGTCCAGTCCTTTCTTCTGCAGTGCCTCTGGGTGGATTCAAACCGGCCAACCTTTTGGTTAGTAGTCCAGCGCTTAGCCATTTCCACCACCGAGGGACTCCTACAAAAAGGACAAGTGACTTTTAAACATTCTTGAAAAGAAACCTTGGGCTGAAGATAACACTAATATAGAAACCACAAGTGAATAACCCTAAAACAGCAGAGCTAACTTGTCTTCTCACCCAAGTACAAGTGCCTTGTCAGCCATGTTATGAGGTGCAAACAACGGAGTTTTAATTAGATCTGACAAAGAATTTGCCACAATTAAAATTATCCAGAAGACTGCTTAAGATTTGGCTTTACATCCACAATCATTCCCATCGAACACTGTCTTAGTGTAGATGGTGCCACGAGAGTTACGAACAAGACATTTAAAAATATTGATTTCATCTTTATCTCATCCTTTTGAATTTTCTGTTTTTTCAGTGTTTTGTATTATACATGATTGTACATGGGTATAATTTATAAAATATATAATCAGAATTGTGGGTGCATGAACAACTTTTTTTTTTTGTTACTGTTAGGGGTGGATGATAACAAAAATTCCAGGACCTCTGATCTAAGCCAGTGGTTCTTAAACTTTAGGCGCTTCAGAATCACCTGGGGGGCTTGTAAAAACACTTACTGCTGGCCCCACCACCAGGGTTTCTAATTCAGTAGCCTTGGGTGGGGCCTGAGAATTGGCACGTCTAACAAGTTCCCAGGTGATGCTAGTGTTGCTAGTCTGGAGACCACGGGTGAGGAGAAATGACCACAGCTGAAATGAAAGCAAGCTGAAGGTCAGTTGAGGCCGCGTCTGCCAGTGTCAACCTCACTCCCAGGGGAAGACAAGGATCCCGCCTGAGGACCAATGCCATCTCCCCTCATCCTGCCCCACCGCCTGAAATTCACCCTCGGAGATAAAATCCTTAGCTTAAACATGGATTTGCAAATACCGGTTGTGGCTGTTCAGTCAATTCCGACTCATAGCGACCCAATATGACAGAGCAGAACTGCCCCATACGGTTTCCTAGGCTGTAATCTTAACGAGAGGAGCTTGGCGCAGCTGCTGGTGAGCTCGAACCGTTGACCTTTCAGTTGGCAGCCGAGCACTTAACCAGTGTGCCACCAAAAACCAAACAAAATAACTAAACCCGTTGCCGTGGAGTCGATTCCGACTCATAGCAACCCTATAAGGATAGAGTAGGACTACCCCGTAGGGTTTCCAGGGAGCGGCTGGTGGATCCAAACTGTCGACCTTTTAGTTAGCAGCCAGGCTCTAAACCACTGCGCCACCAAACAGGGCTAGAAACAGTGTTAATGAATGCTTTGACTGAATCGGGGGCGGGCTAGGGAGGAGTAGGGGATCTATAGCTCCACCTACTGGCCTCACTCAGGGTTTGGAACCCTTGGGCTTGAGTGTCGGGAAGCCGAGTTGGAATCCCTACGCAGCCACTCACAGCTTTTGACCTCAAATCTTCAATAAGATAATGTATGTGCAAATGAGGAAAACATCTTATTTCTAATTCTCTTGCTGCCTTCTAAGAAGGATGGGTTTTGGTAGCTGAAGGATCTTGTTTGCCAGCCTTGGCGAAGACAGTAAGTATATGAGCTGAAAGAGCTAACTGCCCTGCAAGGCAAGTGGGTTAGCTGTAGCAAGAGCTGAGGAGGTTGGAGGCTCTGAGGAGAGGGGGAGGAAGACCTGTGGTCAGTAAGCCCTGGGGAAACCTACGAGAAGGAAACTGTGAGGTGTGTGTGTGTGTGTCTGTGTGTGTGTGTGTGTGTGTGCGCGTGCGTCATACACTGCTCTTCTGTCCTCCTCCCCCCCCCCCCAGTTAAAATATCATCATTGATATTTGGGACGTGGGACGGGAGGCTGACATTGGTGTGGGCAAAGGCCTGGTACAAAGGTAAGGTGCCTGGCAGAGTATCAATGCCAAGTAGGAATCAGTACCTTCCCCATCTTCCGCTGCTCTCCACTCCCTCCCACACACGTTCACATCCATTTTTTCTTTCTTTCATGTGCATTACTTTAGGGGACTCTTGAAAACCAGGAGTCCCTGGGTGGTGCAAACGCGTAAGGCACTTGGCTAACTGAAACGTTGGAGATTCAAGTTCACCCAGTAGCACTCTGGAGGAAGAAAGGCCTGGAGACCTACTTCCAAAACATCAGTCACTGAAAACCGTATGGAGCACTCTTCTACTGCGACACACATGGGGTCTCCAAGAGTCGGAATCCTCTCCGCGGCAACTTTTTTTTTTTTTAACCCGGAAGCAGTAACTCCCCAAGGTGTGCGGCTTTTGTGGCAGGATTTCCAGTACAGGCTGAGCAGTGAGAGTCAATATCTCTTATGTTCAGCCCAATCAATCCATGTTCCCACAGGCCACATACCTCTGAGGGAAG